AAAAAAAAAAAAAAAAAAAAAAAAAAAAAAAAAAAAAAAAAATAAAGATAAAGAGAATAAAAAAGAATAAAAGGAATAAAAAAGGAATAGAGAAAAAAAAGAAGGAAATAAATACATGTATATACAGGCACCTAACACAGCACTCCTGCATGCATGCATGCACTAACGCATGCATGCATGCATGCATGCATACACCCTTGCATGCACTAAGATATGCATTTATGCATGCATGCACACTTGGACACATGCATGCATCCATACACTAATGCATGCACTAAAGCATGCATGCATGCACTCCTGCCTGCATGCACTCCTGCCTGCATGTACTACATGCATGCATGCACTCCTGCATGCATGCATGCATGCATGCATGCATACCTCTCCAGAAGGATTCTTCAGGTGCAACATTAGCCTCTGATGGTGTTCTTCCTGCTGCTCCTCTTCCTGGTTCCCCTACTATATCTGTTGGTCCTTCTTGTCCTTGTATAGAGGATTTACTAAAAAAAAAAAGAAAAAAAAAGAATAAAATAATTTATATTTATTATTTAGTAAAGAAATATATTTATTTATATTATAATTATTTACAATATTTCAAAAAAAAGAAAAAAAACATATATTTTAGTCTCTAATGAGGGTTTAGGGTTTAGGGTTTAGGGTTTAGGGTTTACCGGTTATAATAGATACCTCCTGCTGCAGCAGCAGCAAGAATAATTAAACCGCCAATTATACCACCAGCAAGTGCCCATTTAGCTCCTGTGTGTATACAAAACCCTCAAATCCCTAAACCCTAAACCCTAAACCCTAAACCTTAGAGGTTTTCCTTGTACTAATTAATTCTTATTTAGGTAATTAATTCCTAGACTAGGGTTTAGGGTTTAGGGTTTATATAATAAAAAGAAGAAGAAGAGTTAATGTTTATTATATACAATATAGGAATTAAACAAAATTGCAATTTTTAGGGTTTAGGGTTTAGGGTTTAGGGTTTAGGGTTTAGGGTTTAGGGTTTAGAATCTTTTATACCATCTTCACTCTCTGTTCTTTCTTCTTTTTCTTCTCCTCCTGTTCCTGTTCCTCCTTCTTCTCCTTTATTAGTATTGTCTCCTTGATTTGTTCCTCCTCCTCCTCCTTCTTCTTCTTCCTTAATAGGAGGTTTGCTTGGTGTCTCCTCTTCTTCCTTATTGTCTCCCTTATCTGTCTCCCCTGTCTCTCCTTTTTCTTCTTCTTTTCCTCCTCCCCCTGTCTCCTCTCCTCCTCCTCCTCCCCCCCCTCCTGTCTCCTCTCCTCCTCCCCCTCCTGGTGTTGGTGGTGGTGGTACTACTTCCTCCTCCTCTTTATCCTCCCCGCTGCTGCTGCTGCTGCTGTTGCTGCTGTCTGGTGGTGCAGCAGCAGCAGCAGGAAGTGTCTCCTCTTGTATACCCCCTAGTGCTGTATAGGCAGTACCCCCTAATAAATAAACAAAACAATTAGGTATATAATTAAATATAATACATACTCCTCCTCCTGTTATTGCATTAGGTATATAATTTGCCCAATTATTACCATTTCCTCCTGTATACACAAATATACACATTTACATACCCTAAACCCTAAACCCTAAACCCTAAACCCTAAACCCTAAACCCTAAACCCTCAAAAAACCCTAAACCCTCAAAAAAAACGCCCAAAAACCCCAAAAAAGTGCCAAAAAAATAGGATAAATAAGAAAAATAAATAATATAAATAAATAAATAAATATATTTATTTATTAATTAATATGTATAAATTTACCAGATATTTGTGCATAGCTATCCAATGTTGGCCATATAGAGTCCCAATTCTGTATATTATTAGCTGTAGATTCATCAGTAGCTGAATAATTGAATACTTGTTGCCAACATTCTTCCTTTTTATTTACATTTATTATTTGTTTATTTATTTTCCCTGTATTATTATTATTATTATTATTATCTGCTGTATAGGGTTTACATACACCATCTATCCATTCACCAAATAAGGCATCTTTTACTGCCTTTGTTGCTGCAGCAACAAAAGAAATAGCAGCAACAGCAACAGCAGCAGCAACAGCAGCAGAACACACATGCAGCAGCAGTAGATTATCATTTAGTTATGCAGGGGAGGGAAAAAACGAAGAAAAACGAATACATAGGTGTGTATATATATGAGTGGTAGTAGCTAGGGTTTAGGGTTTAGGGTTTAGGGTTTACAGCTTCGTATTTAGGGTTTAGGGTTTATAATTATATTGATAACTATGTGGATAATGATTAGCAGAAATAAACTAATAATTCTAATCTAATTTATTGAAAACCCTAATTTAGTGTTTAGGGTTTATTAGGGTTTATTATGGTTTATTAGGGTTTATTAGGGTTTATTAGGGTTTAGGGTTTAGGGTTTAGGGTTTAGGGTTTAGACTTACGACAATTATATTGATAACTATCTGGATCATGATTAGCAGCAATAGATGCAGATCCATACACTAAAAAAGAAGAAGAAATTTCTTTATTAGGATAAAAACATGGCCAATATAAACCAGCAGGAGAACCATAAGAAGAACAATACCTATTAATAAATACATTAATATAAATAAATAAATATAAATAAATAAATTATTATTTATTTATTTATTTATTTATTTATTTATTAAGATATATATATAAACCCTAAAAAAAGGAGTAAAAAAGCAGCAAAAACAGCAGCAGCAGCGCAACAAAAACAGCAGCAACAGCAACAGCAGCAGCAGCAGCAGCAGCAGCAGCAGCAGCAGCAGGAGGTCGTCATACCTGCTTCCTTGTAATTTTTGCATGGATACATGTAATACATAACATTGTTGAGTTTTATAATCATAAACAAAAGGTAATTTATAATTAGATAAAATATTTCCTCCTGGTGTTTTTGCCTCTAGTAGATATACATATTTTGCACAACGGCCTATTTCTGTTTTAGGTCCTGATGCTGCAGCAGCAGCAGCAGCAGCAGCAGCAACAGCAACAGCAACAGATGCATAATATCATTACCTTTTTATTCGTAGGTTTATTATTATCTAACTCTCTATAGTTCTTAAATTATTAATTATTAACCCTAAACCCTAAACCCTAAACCCTAAACCCTAAACCCTAAACCCTAAACCCTCGAAAAGTATGTCTAAGAAAGTTGAAATTGAGGGAGATAGCTAGCTAGATATTTAGCTAGCTAGCTAGCTAGCTAGCTAGCTATGTGTATAAGGACTTACATCCAAATGCATCCTTAAGGAAACCATCAGAGACAGGAGAAAAGGGTTTACCTGTACTACTTACATAAGATAGATTAAACCCTCCAATAAAGGGTTTAGGGTTTGTCTCCCTTAATGGATAATTAGCAAGAAAAGAAGAAAATGTTGTATTTTCTCTCTTTATTTTTATATATTTACCTATTACTGGACATTTACCAGATAATTGACGATAACTAGATACATATCCACCTAAATCTACATATATACCTGAACCTGTATACACCAAACCCTAAACCCTAAACCCTAAACCCTAAACCCTAAACCCTCAAAAATTATAAACCCTTATAAACCCTAATAAAGAATAATAAAGAATAATTAAATATAATAAACCCTAAATTATACTAAATAAGTACTGTATATAGATAGTAATAGGGAAAAACCCTAATTTAGGGTTTAGGGTTTAGGGTTTAGGGTTTAGGGTTTAGGGTTTATTCTTACCATGATGTTTAGGTATATTAAATTTATCCATAAATGCTCCTAACTCTCCTTCTTGCCAAGGGTTTGTTGTTGATCTTGCTGCTCTTCTTCTTGCTGCTGCAGCACGAGGTGCAGCAGCAACAGTAGCAGCAGCAACAGCAGCAGCAGCAGCAGGAGTAGTAGTAGTTGTATATTCATGTACAGAATTATCATGTGTCTCCTTGTCTCCTTTTGCATGCATTATTTCTGCTGCTGTTGTTGCTTCTGTTGCTGCTGCTGCTGCTGTCTCTTCTTCTTCCTTAGATATAAAAGAATCAGCAGCAGCAGGTGCAGCAGCAACAGCAGCAGCAGCAGCAGCAGCATCTGCTGCTCTTGCTGCTGTTTGGAGACTCTTTTCATGACTTATGCCACGACGTATACACTCCGCTGTTAAGGGGAGGTGCAGCAGCAGCAGCAGCTGCAGCAGCAGCAGCACTGCTGCTGCTGCACATTGTTGCTGCTGCAGCCACATCGTACTAGAGTACACAAAGAAAACTCTGCTGCTGCTGCAGCTGCTCCTTCTCCTGCTGCTGCTGCTGCTGCGGCGGCGGCGTCGGCAGCAGCTGTTGCTGCTGTTGCTGCTGCAGCGGCTGTTTGTTAGGCCGGGTCTATTATTGGTGTTACTGTTGCTGCTGCTGCCGCAGCTGCTGCTGCAGCGGCTGCTGCTGCTGCTGCTGCTGCTGCTGCTGTAGGGGAATAAGAAGTTAAGAGTGCCCCTATCTAATAAATAGCCGGCTGTACGTACACCGCAAATATCTAATAAATATGCAGCTATTGCTGCTGCTGCTGCTGCATCCAGTCGGCTGCTGCTGCTACTGCTACTGCTGCTGCTGTTGCTGCTGCTGCTGCTCGAGTTGCTGGTGCTCGTGCTGCTGTCGATACACCGCAAGGGAGGGGTTTATGCCTCCTTTTTTTATTAATAAATATTTTATTAATAAGGGAAATAAAGGGAGAAGAAAAGGAAGAAAAGAAACAACAATAAAATAGGGAAGAATATAACTTAGCTATATGTTGTAGCTCGAAGCAGCAGCAGCAGCAGCAACAACAGCAGCAACAGCAACAACAGCAGCAGCAACAAATAGCTGTGTGTATTTGTTGTATTTCTTTATAAAAAGAAAAGGAAAAGAAGAAGAAAAGAAAGGAAATATAAATAAGAAAAGAAAGATCTTCTTTTTCTTTATTATATAAGGAATAAGGTATATATATAGACCACAAGCTGCTGCTGCTGCTGCTGCTGTTGCTGTTGTTGCTGCTGCTGTTGCTGCTGTTGCTGCTGCTGGTGTCTATCGAGCTGCTTGCTGCAGCAGGGGAAGATAAATAAGAATTAAATAAAGTTTTATGGCTATATTTATTGAATAAAGGATAAAGAAGAAGAATAAATAAATAAAATAAAGATAAAAAGGAAGAAAAAATGCAGAAGCAGACACTACAGCAGCAACATTGCTGCTGCTGCTCTTGCTGCTGCTGCTGCTGCAGTTGCTGCTTTCTTTATATCGAGATAATAAATAGCTATGTTAAGACAGCAAAAAAAAGCAGAAAAAGATTCTTTTTATTTAATTAATTAAATTATTTTTATTTATTTATTTATTATTTAAATTAAATTAAATAAATAAAGTATTTATAGCGGCAATTCTCCACTGCAGCAGCAGCAGCAGCAGCAGCTTTCTTAGTATGTATATCGATCTATCGATTTAAATAGGAAATGCTGCTGATTTAGGGGTAAAAGTGCTCTTTTTTAGTTAAAAAAGGATTAAATTAATTAAATATCCAATTATTTAATTAATAAAATAAAAAAAAAGAGAAAAATAAGAGAAAGAAACAAAGATTTCCTCTTTTTTTTTTTGTTGCGCTTTCTACATGACCATTAATGAGCTGCCTATACACCTGAAATAACGGCATAAAAAAAAGAAAGAAATAAATTTATTTTTATTATTTATTTATTTATATTTAATTAAATTAATATTTATTTATTTTAATTAATTAAATAAATAATTAAATTAAATACATTTATTCCCCTTTTTATTGCTGCACACAACCATTGCAGCAGCAGCAGCAGCAGCAGCTGCTGCTGCTGCTGCTGCCGCTGCTGCAGCTAGATCTGTCTAGACACACACAAAATCTATTTGTTGTTAATAATACTTTTTTCTTCCTCATTTTTCTTTTTATTTTATTAATAATTATTTATTTATTATTTATTTATTTATTTATTTTTTTTAATTAATTAATTAATTAATTAAATAAACCCTTATGTACTATCTATCTCCTTAGGAGTACCTAAGGTGTCTCCGGCTAGCTCCGTAAACCCTAGGGTTTAGGGTTTAGGGTTTAGGGTTTAGCTGTTATCCTTACCATTGCCTCATTATTTATTTTTAGTGTTTTTAGTGTTTTGTCCTACAATCAATTAATAGGGTTTTGCCCCAGTAGCCACAGGCAAATAATGGTGACCCTATAAACCCTAAACCCTAAACCCTAAACCCTAAACCCTAAACCCTAAACCCTAAATAATTAAAAACGCTTTTATACTTTTTTGAACCCTCGAAAGACCGAATACATTCTAATAAGCCCTAGGAACACCTAATAAACCCTAAACCCTAAACCCTAAACCCTAGATATTCGCAGTTGGTTAGGAGACAATTTGTCTCCTTAATAAATTAATTATTTATTAATTAATAAAAAGGAGACAAATTTAATTAAAGGAGACACTTTGTTTCCTTTATATAAATCCGTCTCCTTTTTATTATTTTTATTGTTATTGTTTATTAATTATTTATTATTAATTAATAAATAATTATTTATTTTTTTTAATTAATTCATTTTTTTCCTTCTTTTATTTAATTATTAATTAATTATCCTTTTTATTACAATTAATTATTTTTCTTTTTTCTTCTGTTTATTTATTTATAAAATGCATGCAAACTTTTCTTATAAATTATTTTTCTTAAAGAATTGTATTATAATAGAAAAAGTAAATATAAAGGGATAATAAATAATAATAATAAATAAATAAAATAATAATAATAAATAAATAAATAAAATAATAATAATTAATAATAATAGTAATAACAATAATAATAATAATAATAAATATATAAATAAATAATATATATATTACCTAAGACAGGTATGCTTGCATGCATATTCAGCTGTACATACAGCTTATATGTTCTTTCTTCTATACACACAAACAACTAGCTGTGTGTAAGAGATTAATAATGCCTTTATTTGTTGTATATTTACCTTCTAATAAAATAAAAAGGGAATAAAATATAAATAAAAGAATAAAAAGGGAAAATGAGCAATAAAAAGACATAAAGATGAGGTGCATATACACCTGAATTACATGCAACATAGAGTGGTCCAATGGCGAGGGGAGGAAGGATGCATGCATGCGTTTTTTTTTTTTGCATAAAAAACTAAAAAAAGAATTAAAAAAAGAATTAAAAGAAACAAATAAATAAAAATAAAAATAAATAATTGAATTATAATGAATTATTTTCTTTCTTTTTCCTTCTTCTTCGGTGTATACAGGGAGGAGGACGGTAAGTAGTTAAGTAGTAGTAGCTTGGGGCTTGATGAAGGATAAATAGGGCATTTTTTGTGGATTTTTTTCGCAGTTTTGTTTCTTTTTTCTTCTTTTATGAATAAAAAATTGAAAATATTCATTTTTTTCGTTCAATTATACATAAAAAGTGCGAAAAAGAGGAGGGAGGGAGGTGGCAGTATTTAGCTGCTTCTGTGCGGTGTATATATGTATACGGAGCTGCGGTGTATAGGCAGCTATAAAATAAGAGAAAAAAAAGTTGAATTTGTTGAATATTGCCATATTTTAATGTATTTTTAATAAAATAAAGTAGAAAAGAATTAAAATTAATGATTTAATATTGAATAAAAGATGAATTATACATTTTTTCGTGTATTTACTCCATTAACGGAGGGTTTCTTGCATAGAGCAGTAGTTCAGAACGGAAAGCAGTTTCGTTCATTTTCCTCTTCCTCTTCCTCTTCTTCTTCCTCTTCTTCTTCCTCTTCTATTATTTCTTCTTCTTCTTCCCCAATTGAATTAAATAAAGAGAATAAAGATGATATAATAAATAATAAAGAACAAGAAACAAGAGGATTATATAATGTACCTATAGACCACCACCACCATCATACAAACCCTCGTAAATATATTAACCCTGATGGTACTTATCAATACCCAATTACATCATTAACATTTCATTATGAAGATAATTATTCTTCTGTACCTAAACAACAAATTATATCTGTACAAGGAAAAAAAATGATTAAAGGTATAGAAAATAGATCTCTTGTTGAACTATTCTGTATACATCAGGTATTTATACCCTAAACCCTAAACCCTAAACCCTAATTAACCCTACGTAACCCTTATATACCCTTATAAACACTTATAAACCCTAAACCCTAAAAAAATCGATATCCTAAACCCTCAAAAATGCCAAAATCCTAAACCTTAAACCCTTACATAAATAAATAAATAAATAAATAATTAAATTAATTAATTAATTAATTATATTTATTTATTTATTTATATTTATTTGCAGTTAAATATTCCTTTTTTCCCTCGTAAAAGGATGAATGTTTATGGTAATCATGATATATTAATGAAGGCAGAATTCCTTTTCTTCTGGACTCCTACATTCATTATTTGGTCATTAACAAGTAAATAAATAAATAAATAAATAAATAAATAAATAAATAAATAAATAAATAAATAAATATAATTAATTAATTAAATA